AAAAAAAAAAAAAAAGAAATGAACGAACAGGGAAGCATCTATAGTTATTGTACATTCAATAAACAGCAGTCTATTTACGGTTATCATTCACAAAAAAAAAAAGCATAACTTAGTTGTACATTTAAAACTGATAATAATTCACTGAATAACTGTATATATCACAGTTACTGATACAGTAAAACACTTACTTACTTGATAATTGTAGTATCTAAGCTTTGTAAGGCAGGTTAAGAGGAAGCTTGAAGAAGATGAGGAAGAAGAAGAAGACGAAAAAAAAAAAAACAAAAAACAGAAATTAATTTAGCACGGGTTACGTAGAATAGTATACCATAGAATCAACCAAATTTACACATTATGTACGCTGTAATAAAATTGTGAAAGAATAGATAATTAGCAGTAAAAAAAAAATTCTCTTTTCTTTTTTGCAACAATAAAAGTCACTCCAAATTGATTCATATAAAAATCTTTTCGTTTTTTTTTTTTTTTGCCAAAGTTAAACTGTATTTGTCATATGCACTTTATGGCATAAGTTCTTCAATAGAATTAAATATCAGAATTAGAATTAATAAATTTTGAAGATCTATTGATATATTTCTTATACTCTTTGCCTTATATTGATGAACAGTGTTCGTAGTTTAATTCAAAAACGATTAGACGACAAAACGAAACTTAATTTGAATAATTTGTTGCCTATAAACCAGTTAAACGTGTTAATGACAAAAAAAAAAAAGTTGTTTTCTCTTCTACTTTTTCCAGTAAACAGCTTGTTTGATAAAAAAAAAAATTTATGTAGAAAAAAATTGTGTTTTTTTTTTTTTTGAAAAATACTGTTACCAGATGTAATCATATTGATCAAATTTTACTTAGTAAACTTTTTTGCTGTTTTTTTTTTACTTCTTAAAAAATTTTCTTCTTATTTCATCGTTATGCCATTTATTCTGAATACTCAAACTTTTTTTTTCTGTTTCTAACGTAAGGAATTGGTAAGAAAACAGCTAGAAAAACAATCTACAATTTTAAATAGACGATTACAATGTCGACAAGCCGAAGCCATTCCTTGTCGTTGTTATTTTGGGAATTCGTTAAAAACCATTTCCCCTTTCCCAAATTTCCGCGCTGTTACCCGTCTGTCACAGCCTTTTGTAGCCAATTTTAAAATTTACTTCTTCTTTTTCTTCACCTTCTTCTCCTTTTTTTCATTGATAATGTAATATACTCTGGTTTACCACAATTTTACAGTTGTAATTTGGAAAAATGTACTAAACATTAGACTCTTAACAAAGACAAATTTCTGCAGCAGTTAAAAATTATAAAGGTAAAAAAACTTTGTTTTTTAGTGAAAGTTGAATTGAAAAA